CAACCTCCGCCTCCTAGGTTCAGGCAATTCTCCTGCCTCAGCCTCCCGAGTAGCTGGGACTACAAGCACGCGCCACCATGCCCAGCTAATGTTTTGTATTTTTAGTAGAGACGGGGTTTCACCATGTTGACCAGGATGGTCTCGATCTCTTGACCTCGTGATCCACCCGCCTCGGCCTCCCAAAGTGCTGGGATTACAGGCGTGAGCCACCGCGCCCGGCTATATATATATTTTTTTTGGTCAATAAGAAAATGAGATTATTGTTTCTTAGAACATTACTTCATAACAGAGCTCAGCCCCAAAGATCCATATCAGACTTGAAGAACAAGAGTTTTGAGGTGGTTGCTCTACAAATAAAGAATTTTTGTGGGGCAAGAGATTGATTCCTGGCACTAATATGTTTGCTTCTAAAATTTTTCTTTTTTTTTTTTTTAGAGAGACAGGGTCTCACTCTGTCATGAAGCCTGGAATACAGTAGCACAATCATGGCTTACTACAGCCTTGACCTCCCTGACCTCAAGCGATTCTACCACATCAGCCTCTCAAATAGCTGGGACTACAGATGCACACTACCACCCTGAGCTAATTTTTGTAGAGATGTGATTTAAACGTGTTGCTCAGGATAGTCTCAAACTCCTGGGCTCAAGCAATCCACCCACCCCGGCCTCCTAAAGTGCTGGGATTACAGGTGTGAGCCACCGCACCTTGCCTAAAATTTTCTTCAGTTCTAAGGTTTGTGAAAAGGAACAGTGAATAACAAGTCAAACGGAGCCTGGTAGGACCTACAGCTAAGAATAATTATACTCACAGTTGAAGAAGGTGTTTAGACTGAATAACAGAATAAATCCTAAGTGGCAAAAATACACATTTCACTCCTTTTAAAATATTTCCCCTGAAATATTTAGGAAAAAAAGTAATGATATAAGAGAATTTTTTTTTTTTTTTTTTTTTTTGAGACGGAGCCTTGCTCTTGCTGCCTAGGCTGTAGTGCAATGGTGCAATCTTGGCTTGCCGCAACCTTAGCATCCTGGGTTCAAGCAATTCTCCTGCCACAGCCTCTCGAGTAGTTGGGGTTACAGGCATGTACCGTCATGGCGGGCTACTTTTTGTTTTGTATTTTTGGTAGAGACGGGATTTCTCCATATTGGTGAGGCTGTTCTGACCTCAGGTGATC